CCCTGCTGCTCAGACCTGGCATCCCAAGCCAGCTCTTAACCAACGCGCCACTCAGCCGGCCCTATGGCTCTTTTTCTATACCCTGTTATTACAAATATTTATGTAAAAGTCAACAAAGTTAAGTGAAGCTTTGTGATGAACTGACTATCCTATAACTAAATTACTTCATGGATATAAAAACAGTAAACTATTCAGAAAGAACAATTATCTTTTTGTGATGTCCCACTTCAAGTCTCTGGAATTCAGGGATAAACTCAACATACCAAGATCTGGGGTATTGTTTTTTTAAATAAATCATTTTGAAATTTCAAATTTAATAAATTTATTAACTCACCCATACACTATCTCTGGATATCAAACTCGATTCAAGAATAAGAAATTCAGTTCAACATAAGAGATCTCAAAAGTTTTGATGTTCTTGGGCTGCAGTACTGACTTTTTTCTTTCCTTTATTTTGGGGTGGGGGAATCTTTCTATATATTCTCCTCAAGTTTTGATGATGAATATATTGTTCATAATAAGAAAACTACAATTTAAAAAGAACTCTAGAGTTAACCAAAGTCAAGCTTTCAAGAGTACCTTGAGTCTCCTATCAATTCTAAATTCATATACCCAAGTTTTGTCTTTCACAATTTGGATGGACACCATTTATCTAATCTCTCTTCTTGATAACTAATCAAAATCTACCTTTGGCTTCAGGAAATCTGGACTCTTTGGTGTGTTTCTTGATTAAATATCTCATTCCTATGCTTTTATTATTAAGCCAAATATGTCTATCCTTTTGTCCTTCAAGGTACACAGTTCAAAACCCCTTCCCCTTCTTTGACTTCCTTAACCCTTGCAGCTTTCAGTGTCCTTCTCAATCTGCATCCACAATTGAAAATTAAATCGCACCATCTTGTTTCATGTAAAATTAGTCCCAACTCAATCAAAAGCTCCCAGAAAGCAAAGAACAGGTCTTCAACTAACCTCATTCACAAACTACTTAAGCAATGGATAACAGGCTACAATCGACTTTAAATCCTGGTTCTCATCAAAAGAAAAAACTTGTTAACTGTGCTAGGTGATGGATGTTAACTAAACTTACTGTGGTAATCATTTCTCAATATATACATATATCAAATCATTACACTACATGCCTTAAATTAATACAATATTATATGTCAATTGTATCTCAATAAAACTGGAAAAATATTCTGCCTATTATCTCTTAATGTAATTAATCCTAACAATACAAATAAATTTATGTGGCCCAAATTGTACCGACAAATTAGAAAACCTACTTTGCCAAATCCATTTTTCCCTATTATATCTAGTTCATCAGCATGCTTACTAAAAGCCATTTAGAATAGAAGAAATTCAGAACAGCATTGTGTATTTGCATTTACTGCATCAACTCATTTTTTAAACACAAAATCTGTTACTCTTTATAATGTGCTACCAAGTCTCACAAATACCTATGTTCAGTTTTGCCTCAAACATAAAAACCATTCCTGAATCTTAACTACACAATGATGCCAAGAAGGCAAGTACCAGCTGTGTCCTAACGTAAAGCTACATGCCAGGCTTATTTTAAATTATGCAAATTACATAAAAATGGCATTAGCTACCTTAATCTCCTGTTCAACATCAAGAAACAATCACATTGGTACAATTCAGCAAGCTTAAATTGCTCTTCTATTTCAAATACAGTAGAGTCCCCACTTATCCACAAGGGATATGTTCCAAAGACCCCCAATGGATGCCTGAAACCACAGATAGTACCTAACCCTATATATACTCTGTTTCCTATACATGGGTACTTTTTCACTTCAAGGAAGCACTTTATGGCTTCTCTTTGACATATCTGAACTGCCAGCATCATTATTCTTGCGCTTTCAAACCATTATTAAGTAAAGGGTGACTTGAACACAAGCACTGCGATACCACGATAGTTGATCCTATAACCAAGATGGCTACTAAGTGATATGTGGGGTGTTAGCATACAAGAGTGGATATGCTGGACAAAGGGATGATTCATATGCCTGTCAGGATGAAGTGGGACAACGTGAGTTTTCATCACGTGACTCAGAACAGCGGCACCCAACTTGAAACTTATAATTGTTTATTTCTGGAATTTTTCCATTTAATCTTTTTGTACCATGGTACATGGCAGTTAACTGAAACCATGGAAAGCGAAACCATGGATAAGAGAGGACTACTGTACAGTTCTGATGTATACACAATAAGCTTATATATTTACAAATAATAAAGATAAAATCCACCTTCTCAGAGATTATAAAGATATGTAAGCATTCAAATCATACTATCTTATTTAACGAGTAAAATAAATAAATTTAACACTAATTAAAAAAACTAAATGATTCACAAGATTTTAAATACCAGGAATTAATACAAGATTTAAATTAGTTTTTAAACATTTTCATTTTTAAAAATATAGACTGGAAACAGGAATCAGTAAGATCCTACTTGAAGGGCCTCCCACTGTCCAAATCTGTGACAAGTTGAACATTACATAACCTTAATGTTAAGTGAACAACTATCATAGTAACATCTGAAATAAGAATTAGCAATTAATGCTAAAACTAAAGGGTGAAAATTTGATGAGGAACAAAGCATTTATATAGTCTCAAACTATTCTTTTTTTTTTTTTT